GAAGACCAGAACGCTAACAGGAATATAGAGAGAAAAGGCCAGGCTCATGAGGTTTCAGATTATAATGAGATCTGTATTGGAACTTGGACTAAAGACCATTGGTATTACATTCTAGAAAGGAGCTTGTCTACAGTTGCCCACTATATAACACATTGTGTGAGGCTGAATTTAAAGATGGTGAACCAGTTAATACAATGGAGGAAATTTTCAGACAGTCCGGCACCCAGGCTATGGCATGGTTTTAAAAATTTGCAGTTTGGCTAGAAAGATAGCACCTATAAAGTAGGGGCCACAGCTAGTACATTTGCTGAAAGGATTAGCATTAAGAAGAAACAAATATTTTTCATCAGGACAATAGCAAAAATGGCTTGACATCATCTCAGGAATCATAAACATCTTGCCCATTAAAGGCTCAAAGGTGTAAAAGTATAAACCTTTGCTTGAGAAGAAAAATCCAAGATCATACAAGCTTATATAAAGCTGCCTAAAAAGGTATTTCCTAGAGTTCAGCCACTCATTCTCAGAGGTCAGTGGAGCCATGGTCCAAGGGGACCCAGCTACTACTACTAGTGGCTGACCTTGGCATTAAGTACATGCTGCTGGCTTTTGAGGCATGTGGAATGCAGGAGTTGTAGGGTCACAGAGGTTTCCATCCATATATTATAAGAAGGCCAGGCAGGGTGCCCCTGACAGTTTGATGCATGAAGCTATGAGAGTGAAGTCAAAGGTACAGTGGAGAGCCCAAGAAGTTGTAGATAGCAGGAATGTAAAATGTCTGCTCAGAAAAATCACACACAGGCAGAGAGAAGATCCAGTGCAATAGAGATGCCATGTGGGTTGCAACTGGCAAGGCCAGAGTGTGGGGCTGTGTAAGTCCTGTGGAGTTCTCATCTCCAAACAGCACTGAGTGCTGAACGTGGAGTTGTAAGATTTAATATTTACCCTGCAGGACTTCAGTTTTGCGCTGGTCCCATTCTTTTCTACCCTCCCTTTTGGAATGGGAATGTTTACCCTGCGCCACTGTATGTTCGAAGTATTGAACTTTCTCTTTTATTTTTACAGAGGCTCACAGCTAAAGAATGTGCATTAGGAGAATCCTTCAGACTTGAACTTCTCAACAATGCTGGAATTAAGACTTTGGTGAGTCTTAGAGACAGTCTACACATATTTTGTACAATGAGATGGACATGAGCCTTTGGAGGCACAGGGATGGGACATTATAGTTTTGATCTAAAATGTTCCCCAAAACTCTCATGTGTTTGGAAATGGGGCCTCTGGAAGGTGACTGGCCCATGAGGGTGCTATGCTCATTCACTGATGAGTTCAGAACTGAATGCGTTTTAGGAAGTGAAGTCCAACCAGAGAAGGCAGCTCACTGGAGGGGTAGCCTAGCAGGGTGTATTCCTGTCCTTGGCTCCTCCTCCTCTGTCTGTCTGTCTGTCTGTCTCCCTCTCTCTGCTTCCTAGCTCTAACAGGTTAAACACCTTTCCTCCATCATGCCTTCTACCATGGTGTTTTTGCTTAGGATCCAGCCAACATGGACTGAAACCATGGACCAAAATAAAACCCTCCTCCTTTAAATTATAGGTGTTGGGTATTTTGTGTCAGCAGAGGGAAAGTGACTAATATAGCCTCTAAGGAACAATACTTCTATCTTATATAATATAATACAATATAGTGTAACAAACAACATAGTATGAACAATGACATATGACCCCTATTTGCACAGCATTCACAGTGCATTCTGTGTTGTAAATAATATAGAGATGATTTAAAACAGGACGTGCATGGAATGTAAGCAAATGCTATACCATGAAGGATGCGCATGTCCATGGATCTGAGCTTTTCTGGGGGTCCTGGACATAATCCCCTGAAGATATCGAGGAGCAACTGTATATATTATTTCCTTCACCATAATTTTATGTTAGGAAATTGAAAATAAGGAAGAATATTTGTCTATAAAAAGACATTTGTCTGATGGGGATCTTCTACAATGATAGAACACCAAGCATGATCCTCTCCTTTGTGAAAACAGCAGCCAGGTTTAGCAAGCAATTGCATCCCATGAATATTCATTACACAGTCTTAGCTGGTGACCTACCTTATGGAGGGTGTAGCCAGAAAAACACACACAGAACAACCCACTCCAGTTGTAGGTGCAGCCTGATTTCTTGTGTTTGTGGGTTCTAGCCACCCCTCTCCCAACATACTTTAACTTAATTCCACAGAAATGCTGCACAGTTAAAACACAGAAAATATTTTGTTCATGCTTGATGCTTCTGTGGTAAGCCATCATGACAAGAGACGTAAGTTTTCCCTCTGAAAACTGGACTCTGGATAAATGAATAACAGAATGTGTATCCTAAAAATGTCTTATTTACTTTTAAAGGATTATGAAAAAGTTTGTCAACAAGACAGAGTTAGAGACTTATCATGAAGCTGTTTTAGGGTAGTAAAGGGTTCCCAGAACCTCTTTTTCAGATCAGTCAGGTCTGGAGATGTGTCATATTAGCTTTATTTTTCTAACAGAGAGGAAGGTGCTATCTGGGGATTCCCTTAGTAAGAGGGGTCAGAACTCCAAACTAAAATGACATTTAGAAGGCCTCTTTGGGAGATATTATAGAGCTATGAATGTTAGCAGGAAATGACAAGAAACTTATATGAATTGGGCTGATATTAAGTTTATGAAAGACAACTGTTTTCTACCAGGAGGTGAACTTTTGCAAGAAAAGTGTTTGTTTTTCATACTTAGAGATATGACATCATCGAGAACATGATTATCAAACAACAAAATAACCTAAAAGAATGTGACAGTTTGCACCTGGAATGTTCCCCAAGTTCCATGTATCGAAGGTCTACTACCCTGAGTGGTGCTATGGGATGGCTGAGGAACCCCTAAGAGGTGGGCTCAGTGGGAGGACTTCAGGTCCCTGGGAGCATGCCTCGGAGGGCGATAGTGGGATCCCAGCTCTTCCTTCCTTTCTCTTGTGTTTCCCAGTCATGAAGAAAGCAGCTTTGCTCTACCGCGCTCCTGCTGCACCGTGCTACCCTACCACAGGCCCCAAGTGGGAACAACTGAGAGCAGACTGAAATCTCTGAAGCTGTGAGCCAAAGCAAACCATTTACCTCTATAAGTTGCTTATCTCAGGTATTTGTCACAGGCATGGGAATCTGTCTAACATAAACAGCAGACTGCACATTTTACTTTTCTTACAAACATATTGTAGCACTAACAAATACATTTCTTGGTTCACACGATATAGGTTGAGCCAACAACGGGGTACTATCCTCCTGTTAGCACTGCTGTGTCAATGTTGTGATTACAGGATCACTGGTAGCTAGCCACACATTAATTCAGTCACGGACACACGAACTGGATTTATAAAAATCCTCCAAAGGATGTTTACCTTCAAGTATAATCATACAAAAGAGGGCTTTGGTTATGACACAAATTATATAAAAGTTTATGGTTGTAAGGTATTCAAAGAGCATAAACTTAGATTCACTATACTGTCTCTATGGGTCATAACAACACTTGTACTCCTTGTTCCCATGGTCACCTCAACTTCCTCCTTCAGTATTTCTCTAGTTTCAAAGCCCTGGATCCAGTCGTATTCAACTTGGCTTTACATTTCCTTTGTTGAACATTTTCTTGCAGAGAGCAGCAGGATTGGAAGAGTGATCTCTACATCTGGCATTTAGATGCTAGGTCAGTCCTCACTGCTTAGTCAGCCACATGGTGCCACGGTCCATTGGTGTTTTCCAGCCTCCCAGGAGGTGGAACTAGATATTAATGTGGGCAACTCGGACTGGGACCATGGCTTTGCCACAGCATTTGCCTTGCTGCTGCCCTCTCCGTTCACTTGAGTAAATGATGCTCTTTTACTGTTTTAATGTCTGCACACAGACCCCGCTTTTCATTTCTGCCACCATGACACCACAGGGAGTCTTTGGTTTTTCTGATTTTATTAGGTAGCTTTCACAGGGTCCGTCTTGATGCGTAAATGGCTCTGTTTTGCAGTTCTATCAAGAATTGAGAGTGCCATCTAAATCTCTGTGCAATTAATTATAAAAGCTGACTTCTCAATATAGTCATCATTGCAATAAACTATTACAGAAATTTAAGAGGCAACAAGTTCTTCATATTAACAAATGGTAAGATCAGTAGACACGTTGATGCTAGTCCCCATCTACACCCTCACCACTGGAATAAAATCAGTTACAAATAGTAGACCATAAGAATACATACATTTTTAAAAGAAAAAAAGCAAAATGAAAAACTTATCCATATATTAACACATGATAAAATATGTCTATACATTATAACAGTATAGTAATAGGCAAAGTATCATTTTTCATCTAATTATATGTTTTATTATATGTGTAAATAACCACTCAATAAAATCAATTTTGCAGTTAATTATTGTGTTCAATCTGTTGAAAAAGAAATTCAAAATTTAAGATAAGTCTTAGGGTAAAAGCAAAGGAAGAAAAAAGAAAAGGAAGAAATTAGAAATTAAAATTCAAAGGACATTTCACACTGGCTCTCTATTTGTCAGTTTTCAATAATATTTTCATAATAGTCTTATGTTACATGTGGGAAGTTGTAGAACTCACACCATTATTAAAATTTGCATATCTACCTATCTATCTAAAATTTGCTTATAAATATAGTCAGTAGTGTGTAAACCTACCTAAATTTATGTACACAATGCAGTCTTGACTAAAAAATAAATTAATTCTAATTATTCCCTTATCTCAACTGAAATGTTTTAAAGATATTTTTACTCTTGCTTCAGTTGTTTTGTCCCAAATATCACTTGTGTATCATGGTTGCTCTATTATAATTATTAAAAGAATATACATGAAAAAATTCTACATCGGCACTGTAACTATATGTAGCCTTAGACGTCAGGGAGAAAAAAAACTTTAAAAAAATGTTCCTTTGAGAGCCACACTTCTAAGTTCTAAGTTCTAAGTTCTAAGTTCTAAGTTCCTACCTGCAGATGTTGTCACAATTTCTGTGGTGTTTCTGAGGCCCATGAAGTCAAACTGATAAAGCCGCCAAGATTTCTGATCAGCTGCCTCCACTGAATTTTTTCTCCATCTGTAAATCATTTCTTCCTTGGGGTAACCATCTGAAAATACAGAACAAATATTAGCACGTGGAGATAGGCTCATACATCATTAATGTAAAAACTCTAATTCTGATCTTCAATAAGACTTGAAACCGTAGGCCATATTGGTTCTCCAGAATGTTCCTTAGAGACACAGAAACTCCACAGTGAAAGGGCAAAGGCCTCTCAATCCAGCTGCAAATGTTCATCACCAGGAAACCTGACCAGTGTCACGATGGACGCAGTGTGTAGGGACCACTGACCCATTAATTTTTAATCCTTGAAGCGCTGAGCTGCACCTGCAGCTGTGCCGCCCAGAGGGGAGGTGCTTGTCAGCATCTCACTCGCTCCTGGACACAAGGTCCTTTTCATACAGACGTAACTCTCTGCCTATATTCATCACACCTCCCACCCTTCCCTAGAAGTTCGTGCAACTAGATATCAGGAATGATGAATTTAATCAGGTCTTCACTCCATGACTCAAGAAACCAGCTGGCTTAGTCCCTGTTGTACTTGGGATGTGATGTGTCCTCCAAGGGTCACGTGCTGGAAGCTTGGTCTGCAGTGCGACAGTGCCGAGAAGCAATGGGAACTTTACCACAGCTGCCTGGGGTCGGGTGGGGGTCGTGGGAGCAACACCCTCATGAACAGATTAATGTCCTTCTTGGGAGACTGGGCCCATCCTCTCAAGAGGGGTTAGGGTTCAGGGGGGTGAATCCGTATCAAGGACAGGATTAATGACACAAAAGCAGGTTGTAGCAAGTGGGTGCCCTCTGTTGTTCCTTTCCACATGCTCCTTCCTCATGTTCCCTTTCCCCTTTCCACCTTCCCATCATGATATAAAGAAGCGTGAGGACCTCACTAGAGGCTGAACGAATGCTGAGGCCATGCTCATGGACCTCCAGAACTGTAAGATAAATTCTTTCTCTTTATGCATTGTTCAGTTTTGTTATAGGGCTGGACAACTGACTAAGACTGTACTGCTCTGATATCAATTCCCACTTTTGAGGAACAAACTCTGGCTTCTTTGAGAGACCAGTTCCCATACTGTTAATTACTTCAGGAAGAAAGATCCTGGTGCTTCTGCGGCTGGAGGCCCAGTAGTGATGTGCCTACCGCCAGGGCGTCACGACTGGTACCTTGGCCCCACCCATGCTGCGCCATGACTCATGACTCCCTAAGCCTAAGTCAGATATTGGCCAGGTGTGTGCTTCCCCAGCTGCACTTACACTTCTGAGCCATGTTTGGGAGTGCACCATTTACTCTGTGCTGGAGGGCTGACCCGGTGCATTTGCCTTCTTCATACTGTCCTATATTTAAGCTCTGTAGCTAGGTTGGCCCCATGGGACATGCCTCAATCCCAACAGTAGGCCTATGCCTCAGGATGTCACGCAGCACACAGCAGCACTGGCATTATTAGCCTTTACTGACCCACGTAGACAATGATGCCTGACACCACTTGATGGATTATCATGAATATAAAACAACTGCATCGACGCACATGTGCTTTTGCAGACATGTTAATAAAGTGGCTGAACATTGAAGAGTAAACATTTGGATCAGTTTGTAAAACTCTTAAATACAATCTGCCCTGCTGATTGTTCTCTCCTCTCTGCCTGACACTGTTGGTCTGATAATGTCATTCAAAGACCGATACAGATCACAGGCATGCATCCTGCTTCATGATTATGCACTGCCCTGTGAGGCTGTGATCAACATAGCAGGGACGCCTTGTCTACCTCCATTTGACAGTGTTGAGCTCCAGGCACACAGGCTTAGCCTGAAGCTTTCCTATTAAATCTTGAAACATTTTACTTGGCTTTTAGCCACTGTCCCATTTGATTTATATTCTCAATAAGCTGACATAATTAGAAAGGGTATTTATGCTACATTCCTTTTCAATTTTTTAAAAATAACTTTACTGAGATGCAATTCAAATACATAAATTTATTACATTTAATATGCACACTTAAGTGTTTCTTAATGTATTCTTGTGGTGGTGAAACTATCAACACAGTCTAGATTTACAAAATTTTTATCACCCCGAAATGAAATACTAGACTCATCTGCTATTTCCCCTCCCCACAGCTACCTCCAATCTTGTCCCGAGGAACCACTAATGTATCTTCTGGCTCTACACTTGCCTGTTTTGAATATTTTACATAAAGGGAATCATACAATACGTAATATTTTGTTCTTGGCTTCTTTTACTCAGAATAATGTGTTCAAGGTTCACTTATATTGTAGCATTTTTTGACGCTTCATTTCTACCTACTGCCACATAATCTTACACTTTATAGATATACTATATTCTATCAGCTGCTAAACATTTTTGTTGTCTACTTTTTCACTATTATGAATAATGCTATTATGAATGTTTATGTAGAAGATTTAGTTGTTCACATGTACTTAGTGTTCCTGAGTAATTCTATGCTTACATTTTAAGGAACTGCTAGACTATCTTCTGAAGTGGATGTATTTTTAAAATCCTACTATGGTGTACGGGGGTTTGTTTCTCTGCTTCCAGGCCAATACTTTTTAACATCTGTCTTTTAAACTGTAATAAGTATAGTGGGTGTGAAGTGTGTATCTTGTTTTAATTTTCATTTCCCTAATAACTGATAATATTTAGCATATTGTCACAGTTTTGTTGGCAATATGTATATTTTCTTATGCCTCTTCAGATTTCTGGCTTATTTTTTAACTGAGTTGTTTTCATATTGTTGACTTTTAAAGAGGTATTTATGCATTTGGGTAGAAGTTCTTTATCAGATACATGATTTTTCAGGTATTTTCTCCTATTTTGTGGCTCTTCATTTGTTTTCTTGGAGCAATTCTTTTTTGTTTTTTTTTTTTCCACTACCGGAAATTGAACTCATGACATCATGCTTGCCAGGCAGGTCCTGTGCCGCTGAGCTAAATCCCCAGCCCCTTTCTTTCTTTTTTTATTTTTTGGTTTTGGAGCAATTCTTATTGTGGTAACACATACATCATATAAAATTTCCATTGTAACCACTTTTAAATGTACAGTTCTGCTTGATTAAAGATGTTTACACTGCTGTGAAACCATCCTCCCTGTCCTCCAGAGGTCCTTTTCAAAAGTGACTTTGCTTTGGAGCAAGTGCAGGTACCGGGAGGAATGAAAGGAAGGTTCAGAGGTGTCCGCGGCCCTCTGCCTCACACGTGCTTACCCTTCCCCACAGCAGCGGTCTCCCCAGAGCAGTGCATCGGTTACAGCTGATGAGACCACCGTGGCATAGCACTGGCCACAGTGCAGAGCATGTGCACGCCATAGTGCTTAGTGTACATCAGGGCTCACTCTTACTCCACTGTACATTATTTGGGTTTGGACAACGCACCAGAATCTTTATCTACCTCTGTAATACCCTGTTCTCTACCTATTCTCTTTGTTTCCCATTTTTGCCCCACCTTCTCCACTTCACTCCTGGGAATCATCAATGCTTTTACTTTCTCCATAATTTTGCCTTTCTAGAGTGTCATGTAGCTTAATTCATAAAGTATAAGGATATTTTTGATTGGTTTATTAGTAAAATGCATTTAGGTTCCCTCCATGGTTTTTCATGGCTTGAATTCTCATTTCCTTTTAGTGCTAAATAACATTCTATTATCCGAATGTGCCACTTTTTATTTAACCATTCACATACTGAAGGACATCTTGGTTTCTTCTACCTTTTGTCAACTCTGAAAAAGTTGCTGTTAATATCCATGCACGTTTTGATGTGGATGTTGTACGTCTTTTGATACTCTCTTCTATAATTTTGAAGGAAAATTTTACCAAGGTTAGAATGATTGGTTGATCAAAATTTGTGTTCAGTGCTTTGAGGATGTCACTTAACAGTCTTACGGCCTCAATGTTTTCTGATGAGTAGCATGCTGTTCATTATGTTGCAACTCCCTTGGTAGTGATGCGTTTCTTTTGTCCTGCTGTTTTTAAAACTGTCTTTTAACCCTTAGTTAACATTGTTATCTGACATCTATAATTACATCGGTGTCAATTATTTTAAATTCACTGGAGCTTCTTGGGCTTCTTGAATTTGTAGATTGTTTTTATCAAAATTTTGACCATTTATTCTTTGAATAATTTTGGCCCTGTTTCTCTGCTCTTCTTCAAGGCTTTCATGATGTGTTTGTGTCCGTTTGTACTCTCTGCAATGCACCACAAGCATATGCGTTTCTGTGTATTTTTCTTCATTCATTTTCTTTTTTTCTTTTTTTTTTTTTTTTTTCTCGGTACCGGGAACCGAACTCATGACCTTGCGCTTGCCAGGCAGGCGCTTTGCCGCTGAGCTAAATCCCCAGCCCCTTCTATTTCATCCCTCTTACTGGATAATCTGTACTGCCTGATCTTCACATTTGCTGATGCTGTCTTCTGCTGCCTGCCAAGCTAGTGCTTTTCTCCCAGTTATAGTATGTTCCAACTCCAGAACTTCTTCTGGGTTCATATTCAAAATGTCTATCTTTCCACAGATATGTACTGTCTGTTTGGTGAGACCTAGTTGTTTTAATTTCCTTTAACTTTTTAAACCATAATTTCCTGTAGTTCTTTGAATATATTTAAACTGGCTGATTTAAAGCCTTTTCCTAATTCAACATCTGGGATTCTTCCACGATAATTTCCATTGCAGGCTTCCCCCCCATGTATGTGGCACAGTTTTCTGTTTCTTTCTAGTTTTTAAACTTTTTCTTGGGAACCAGACATTTTAGGAAAAACATGTGAAAAGTGTGGTATCATATCTCTTCCTCCAGTCCAGGGTTTGTTGCTGTTCCTGGGTTTTCTGTTCATGTTTTCCTTCCTGTTCATTTTCCTCATAATTATTCTGGACTGACTTGGTAGATGCTGTATTCCCTGAACTGTGTAATCACTAAGTCCTTGATAACTCTTTTGTTGATTATTTTCATTTTAAGCCTGCCCACCTTTGCTTACCCTGGGTTTATTATAATTTAGCGGCCAGCCAAAGATTAGCCCCAAGATTTCCTTTAATGCCTGACTTTCCCTCTAG